TTATATGGTCATATATACATAGCTTTTGACCTGTACTGCTTGTCTGGTAAGATTATTCTAGACATATACTAGATATTGCAACTAAGGGAAACCATGGGATCTATGTTTCTTTGGGTCTGGCTTACTTCCCTGAATACAATTTTTTCCAAGTCTTTCCATCTCCATCAGAAAGATTCCATCCTGAGTCTTCCACACTTTGTTATGTCTTCCATGTCTTTTGTGAGAACTCAGAACATTCCTCACTGAGAACAGATGGAAACCAAATCTCAAGTATTAATTCAAAGCCATTTTTCCTTCTCCTATTCTAGGGTATAAAATAGAGCTGAGAAGAAAGTCAGAGCCTAAGACTTCCTTAATTTATGCTGAGATACCAAACATACAGTCAAATGGAAATTTGACCGAATATTCTAAAATGAATAACAGTACATTGTGTGTGTGTGTGTGTGTGTGTGTGTGTGTGTGTGTGTGTGTGGTGTGGTGTGTGAGTGGTATTCCCTAGAGAGCTTTATGCAAATGAGATATCTACCACAAAAGCTTATAAGAAAATCCCCAAGATACATGGTCATTTGGCTTGACCTAAAGACAACTGCATAGAATGTCAAGGACTATAGTAGGTGGTTTCCATGGCCCTCTCTTTCAGTCATGATCCTTAGAAAATATATATCAATGTATAGGTGAATGTCTTGCATAAAGTCACACAACTAATAGGACTTTTGTTGGTACCAAGTTTTTATTAAATATCTGCTGGCACTTTTCTATGCACTGAGGCTCTGAAAGGCTTGAGAGAGCATCTTTTTCCAAATTTACGTTCTGTTATGTTTTACTGAAGATTTTGGCCACACTAAATGCAAATATTACAATCAAGTGGAAGTTTGCTTGTATTTGTTTGTCCTCCAGTAGCCTGTTGTTAAGCACTTACTAGCAAGGCACTATTTATAAACCCTGATTTTGAGTATTGTCCTCCAAACCTGGAAATGAACATCTTCATACCTTCATAATAACCTGAATGGCAAGTTTGAATTTCACCTCAGATTTCTTATTGTTCCTCATCATAATTTAGAGGAGAAGAGAAAAATGACAAAAATCAACCCTCAGACTGCAACCTTGAAGCTCTAATTTCTTCCACTTCTCATCCATCCTCTCCATGCTCTGGGGGAAGTTTGTGTGACTAATGTGAATGGTCCAGCATACCTGTATAAACATCATCTGCCTGTACACCACATAAACATGTAAAGGCACCCCTAGACCCTACCCATAGGCCCAATGATTCAGGATAGCTGTGATAGGCAGGATGTGAAGGAAACATACACAATCCTTAGAAGCAGATATAAATCTTCAGAGATCTGAAAAGTCAAGGACTGCAACATTATCTCAAACAGATCAATAGTAGAAGGTCCAGTCACTTTGACCCCATAGAGAAACCACCTTATGATGGGGGAGGGCCAGACTAGAGCATTCTAGCACAGGGCCCAAGGTAGCATTCCCTACTGATTGATCTAAGGGGAGTGCCAATACAGGACTTCCAAAGCACTTAGGGACCCCTGTTGCACTGAAAAATGATATAAAATAAGTCATTTTAATGAGCAGATTATCTATTCTCAGCCCCTCTGTTCAACCTAAGTTAAAAAATATACTTAGTTACAATTTATTGACAGGTTGCAGAACATGGCTGTTAATTACTCAAATAGCTACCAATAATTATTTTTTTAAAGCTACTGTCATTGGCAAGGTTCAGGGAAGCTCCCTATTCGTCTTCTTTGCACGTCTCAGGTGTGTGTTCTTTTGTGAATTCTGGACTATCCTTGTCCATTGCTGAGAGTTCTGTCATCATAGGTAATAAAAGCATCTTCACCTTTTAAGTGACAATTATAGATGTATGGGCAAATTGCCAACAACACAGGCTCTGGAACCAATTTGTCCTGGCACCATTATGGAATTCATGAGCCACGATGGTCCCCCTTTCCTCCATCTGAAATCTAAAATGTTAATTTTGTTTGCTGCTTCTGGAATGAGTGTGCTCTGAGAGTCATGTGTGAAATCAAGCTAAGATTGAAAGGACAAATGAGGGAAGACAGCAGAGCCCTTTGGGAAATGCTGACTTACACTTTACATCTAAAGGAGACGTCATCATTTACTTATGTAATTATTTACTCTAATTAGCATATAATTTAAAATAAATAGTGACTATGTTTGCTCCCTATTTCTTTGATTAACACTTCTTGGTCCACCCACCCTACCTCAAATTTCACTACCTGGCAAACACCATTCTAGTCTCTGCTTTTATGAGTTTGATTGTTTTTTTTCAGATTCCACATATGAGATCATACAGTGTTCACCTTTCTGATCCCAGATTATTTCATTTAACACAAAGCTTTCATGGTTCATGTATAATGTTGCAAATGACTAAATTTCTTCCTCTTTAAGCTGAATTCTATTCTGTTAAATGTATATGTGTGTGTCACATTTTCTTTATCCATTCATCTGTTGATACACATTTAGGTTGATTCTCTAACTTAGACATTGTGAGTAACATTTCAATGGCATAGACTTTGACATTTTTTTGTATGAAACCACAAAACTAGGTAATCAAAACAAGAAGGGATGAATGAGATTGCATCACACTAAAACGTTTCTGCATAGACAAGGATATAATCAACAACATATATAATGGGATAAAATACATGCAGATTATGACTAACAAAAAGATAGTCCCCAAAACATCTATACCCAACTCTAACAAGAAAACCAATAGCCTGCTTTTTTAAAAATGGGGAAAGACTTGAAAAGAAATTTCTGAAAAGGAAGATATACAATTGATAATAGAAATATAAAAAATGCCAAAATATCATTATCAGGGCAGGGAACATTCAAACTAAAATGAAATATCTTTTTGCATTGCTATCAAGACGACAAGACAAAAGGTAAATACTGGAAAAGATATGGAATAAAGGGATCCCTTGCACCTAGTTAATGGGAATGTAAATTAATGTGGCCATATGGAAAGCAATGTAGAGTCTCCTCTAAAACTTCTCTCTGTGCTGGGCACTGATGGCTCACACCTATAATCCTAGCTACTTAGGAGGCTGAGATCTGAGAATCGCAGTTCAAAACCAGCCCGGGTAGGAAAACCTGTGAGACTCTTGTCTCCAATAAACCCCTCAGAAAACCAGAAGTGGCGCTGTGGCTCAGGTGGTAGAACGCTCGCCTTGAGCTAAAGAGCTGAGGGACAGCGCCCAGGCCCAGAGTTCAAGACCCACAACCGACAAAAGAAAAAATAAAAACCTACTCTATGCCCCACCGTACCACTCTTAGTTATAGTGATGCAAAAAATATGAAATCAGTGTGTTGAAAGGAAATCTACACTCCCTGTTCACTTGACACTCCTCTTTTAGTGAAGACCAGAATTTCATTCTCCTGTTTGTTTTTGTTTGTGTGTCTATTTGTTAGTAGGGTTTAATTCTTTATTTGCATTTTTTCACATCTTAAATATTGATAGATATATTTATTGTTTTTCTCCATTTGCTCATTCTATTAGAAAACAGACATACAAATGCCAGAACAAAAATGTACAGGACAATAATTGTTAGTAGAACATAAGGAGAACTTAAAGAAAAAAATAACTGTGCACATTTCTACTATGTCACATCATGCATTATTAAGTATAATTAACTGATTACTTCTGGTGTACTTGTAACTTCAGTTGATGGAGGTATAATATGTTAGCCACATTTATGATGTGTCTCTCATGCACACGCCCCTCCCACACATGGGAAACTAAACCTGCTGTTGTTTTTCCTGGATGCTGGGTGTCAGTAATTTGATCGAGAGACGGTGGGAGAAGGAATGCGGAGGAGGTGACCACAGATGCAGAGACCCAGGTAACTTTACCTTGAAATAAACTGACAGAAAGAACATTATTAAGGAGGGGGACATCACAATTCTGGGAAGAAGAGTGTAAGAAATCATGAAAGAGTTCACTGCAGAGTTGAAACTGCCTTTTCTCCCTGTTGAGTTAGCGCTTTCATTTCCCTTTGAGTCTCACAGCCACTGGAGTCCTTTGGGCAAGAAGCAACGAGCAGTACATGAGGCTGTTTTGTGTGTCTTCTTGACCAGGGTGGGGCCAGTGAGAGAGGATAGAGGGCTAGTGATCAGTTTCTTGGAATTTCTTGACACCTGGAGACTGTCTTTTAATATAATAGTGACCTTGTTAAGAACTGGATCTTGGGCTCTATCCAACAAGCCCTCTGTCTGCACTGGGCACTCCCCTAGTAAATGTCTTGCAGCCAAGTTCTGGATCCCTGGCATGTTGCCCACCCTGGCCTTTCCCTTTTGTCTCCCTAAGGGCTGTGTGTTGTGAGTCCAATCACAGAGCAAACAAGTATCTTTGGGGTGCCTGGGCTCTCTGGCAACTGATTTTTAATCCAACCAAAACTGCAAAGGAAAAGATGGCATGAGTCTAAGAAAAACTAATCCCAGCCATTCTACAACTAATCTGTTCTCTTCAAAGAGGTTTGTGTTGTAACCATCTATGAACAACCAGATGCCACCTCTCTGCTCAGGTGAGAGGTAGGTGACGCCTCCTTGCATGCCTCAATGTTTCTTCTCCAAGTGAGTTTTGCAATCAAAGAGCTGTCTCAGTGAGCAGTGAGAAAGAGGTGGAAGCGCTTGTTCACTTACTCTTGCTTCTGCTGCTGGCCCAGGGGCAAAAGACTGATAGGTGAGAAATGTTCTTCCTTCTAAACAGAGCCAATGGTCTACTTGCATTTGTTGGGGAGGGGTTTATGGTTTTAGTGTGGTGAAAGTACTTTGTCTTGATAGCTGCTTCACCTCCTGGTTGTAAAATCGTTTAACTTTCTTTTCTTTTCTTTTTTTAAACCTCCAAGTGCCTTTCAGAAACGGCTGCACCTTCAGATTGAGACATCCTTCCTCATTTGCAAACCTCAGTTGTGTCTGGGGGCAGGGCCAAGACAGAACTGCCAGGAGCACAAAAGCTTCTAAAGAAAAGTCCTAACAGCAAGCTGGGAGCTAGAGGCAGATCAGTCCAGGAATGTGACAGGCACCAAAAGGCTCCGTTCTTCCAAAAGTCATCTAGGACCAAAGCTGACCTTTTCTTTATTTGGTAAGTTTTGTGTGGCTTACTGGTGGACTCATAGCTGAGAACAGGTGTGACTGAGTTCGCCTTTCTCTTCCCTGTGGATTCAGGTCTGTGAGTTGGGGGTGGGGTGGGGAGGACATCCAATTGGAACTCCAGTCACATAGAGCTCACAGCCTGGGGCTGCGATGGGGAGAGTCCACCAGGCATCTGGAATAGACTTGATTTCGGAATGTAGTGGATCTGATTGCTTTTTGGCAGCTTCCCTCTTCCAATTATGTTAGGCTTAGTCTGGTTGTCAAATTACTTTGCAGTCCCTAAACAGATCCAGAAAATATATTGAAGAGACAGAGAGAACACTGTCTAAAATGCAAACTGGGTATGAGAAGAGTGTTCTGGCAAGATGTTTTTTTTTTTTTTAATGTTGTCTGAATGATGCACAACCCAACTCAAAGAAAGGTGACTGCCTCTTATTCCCTGGCCCATTGGTCAGTCTCAAAAGCCAAGTACAACATTCACCTTTAAAGTTCAAGTCAATTAAAACTATTATGCATACTTTAATTTTGCTCTCCTTACAAAGCTCAGGCTTTTTTTAAAAAAATTGATTATAAGCTTCACTATTTGTCATGATCAAACAAATTTAGAAAGTGCCCAGTAACTTTCCTGGTATCAGTTTGAGTTCCTATTTGAAGTTGGTAATTCCACCAGAGCAAAACTAACATTTTCTCTTTTATAATATATAAAGAAAGTTTTGTCATGAAATCTGATACTTTAAATCAGATGTGAGGCAAGATGATGAACCTCAAGAGGTGAACTGGTTTTGCTAGTGATTTTGTAAGTGCACTATTTACGTAAGAGAAGTAATTATGTACCCCAGCCACTTACTAAATCAAGTTAAAGCTAAGTATAAAATTAAAAGCCTTCAAAACAAGACCATTCCATGGGTTAGAACAGGTATGCATTCCAACGATATTAAAATTTAGGCACCATAAATATAGCCTGGTAAACGTCTACCTTTCCAAGTGGATATTATTTGAGTTTTATGGTTTAAAGATTAGTTCAGTTTAAAAGAATAGTAATATTTTTTGCAAAGGTTTATTTATGGTAGCAGGGTTAAAGGAGGGAGAAATACGAAAAGAGAAACATTTCCTGCCCCTAAAGCAAGAAATGAGAGTCAAAGATTCCAGATAGTAATATTTTTTAGCCTTTATGGCTTAATGTCTGGAAAACTAGTTCTTCCTGCCTTCTCCCTCTGGAGCTGAAATGTCAGAGGGTAAAGTTAACTAATAACTAAAGGTCTTTGAGTTTGAGCTCTGATTTTAATGGCTCCATTTTGCTATGTTAAAATTATATTCTGGAAATTATTCAACCATAATATTTGCATCATGAAGAGTATATGAAAATTCTTATTTCCTCTGCTGTCAAGTCAAGCCCAAGTTTACCTCTCCAAGGTCAAGATCACCTCTAAGATAGAGGTAATAGTGCTAACCCTCAGAGAGTTTTCTAGAACATTAAATGGGGTTGTTGTAGAGAAAACCTCAACTGAGTATTTAAGAACATAGTAACTGCTGAATAAATCTTTTTATGTTCAAACCTCTGTCATTCACACACACACACACACACACACACACACACTAACATTCACACACAAATGCTATATGTTCATTTTAATCATTTCTGATCCTACTACCTACTAGTAGCATTTGGTTGCCAATCATATGACTGATAGCAGGACTGACAACTTACTCTGAGGAAGAAAAGATGGAAATTGATAGACACTAACACTTGAAGGGTTTATTATATTCTTGTTTTTCATTATGAAAAACGCCAAAGAAATAACAGTCTTTTACTTTGGTTAATTAGTAATCTAGTAGATGACTCTACCTTTTCACACACATGCTATTATTCCACAATTTTAATTTTGTGCAGAGAAACCATGAACTTCCTACAACAATTTCTTGTAAATCATTTCCCAAACCTATAATTTAAATTGGTTCCAAATAATATTTGAGAAATTTTCATGTACTCTTTCATTAGAGCTAGGAAATGTTCCCCTTCTTTGTGTGTTCACTAGGCTGATAAACCTAGGTTTGAGGCAATCCTGCTCACTAACAATCAAAGTAGGTCTGTACGAATTGCACTGAACATTGCTGAGCTGGGTTTTTCTCCCCTGATTATCTGGTAAAGGTACTGAAATCAATAATAACAGAGATTGCTTCTTTCTGGCTTTAAGAATTCTGTTTCTGCATTACTTTTATTTCCAAGAACAATGCACAAAATAACTTTCAGAGCTACTCTCATGATTCTCCAAACAGGATTGGAAAAGTTGGATGACAAAAATAAAAGAAGACAAAACCCACAACCATCCCCCAAACAGGATAATCTCTAACAGAATTTAGTTATACCAAACAGAAATCCCACATAAAACCTACAGCCCTAAAGAGGAAACTTACGGTTAGTGATAGGGAAGGAAAGCAAACACAACTTTCTCTCTCTCTCTCTCTCTATCACTCTCTATCTCTCTCTCATACACACACACACACATTTTAAAGTTTCAAAGACAACCATCCAATCAGATATGAAGCTGCCAAATTCTAAGAGCTGTTTTTATATGACAGGCAAAACTACTCCTCCTCACCAAAACTACCATTTGGTTTCATAAACTAAATAATAGTTTTAGTAAGAAGCAAAATTAGTTATACATATTTTATGAGTTATTTAGCTTATCAAAGAAATCTTATCAAAAAAATTGTCACATATATCCATGATTCCCTACTTTTTTTCTTTTCCACAGGGGGAATTAAAAAAAATCACAGTAACTTGCCAACTTATTAAATTGCCATCGTGTTCCCATTCAATCCTAAATCAGGTTAGAAACAATTTGCAACTAATTACAGTAATGTGCAAGCCTACGGATATTCAGAGTCAATTTGCTTTTAAATACTGATGATCCTTAACTTTTTATCTTTTTGTAAAAAAAATTTTATTGTGAAAATACCATACAGAGGGTTACAATTATATGGGCAAGATAATGAGTACATTTCTTATCAAGCATTATTGCCTCCTCCTTTGTTTCCCCTTCCCATCCCTTCCTATGGAAAGACTTGGAAAAAATGATATTAAGTGAAGTAAGCCAGGCCCAAAGAAACATAGGTCCCATGGTTTCCCTTATTTGCAAGAACTAGTATATGTCTGAGACAAGCAGAAAAGGTTGATAAGTTGGTGTTAGGTGAAATGAACCCCAAGATAAAGACTTAAATGTTTTTTCTTTCTTGCGATTGTTTCTAACATATTTATAAGATGAGTTCTTTGCTGCTTTGTATGTCCCTCCCCCATGGTATAAGCACTGCTTTCATTGTATTTGATGTTGGTATAATTTGTGGAGGGGAAGGGAAAAAACAAATCATTTAAATAGGGATACAGGTGGACCCATTGCAACAATGAGATGTACAAGTCGTTACGTCGAAAAACTTTTTATCTTTTTATATTTTCATAATATTTGCCCCAGTAAAGTTTAAATAAGCCAAAAAAAGTTGTAGAAAACGATTTCCCTATTTCTCATATATTTGTTTTGATCACCATTCATATTTGTCATAAAATTCAAAGAAAGATTCTGAAGTCTTAGAAATTACCTGCCAAGTTCCAACATAGATATCCAAATAATTCAATATCAGCAACATCCAAGTCTTTCCCATTCCGACCCACACTCCTCCTGACTACAGCAGCCTCTGATCAGCACCATCATGACTTCCTATTTGGTTAGGAAGGTGGGGGACAAGTCTTTAGGTATCCTGGTGACTAGAAATGTGTTTTTTTCTAAGCGTTAGGCAAAAGAACTTAAAGAGAAACAGAAAAAGATCTCTGAGCAGTCTGGAATACTATAGAATGTGATTTGTGTTTGTGTTGGTGCATCTGAGTGATCAGGTCTTTATAGGATTATGTTCATCATGGTGCATAATGCATCCCTCAAATGATGGCTCTATTAAGGACTGATGTTTCAAATTTCAAGATTCATAGAAATCCCTTCAACTCAAAATAACCAAATGTAGTAATGAATATATAATTGAAAAACAATTGTATGTCAATGCACATGGATCCTTGATGATTAAAAATGAAGGGAATGGCATAAAGAAATCATTCAGTATATACAAGCTATTAATTCTATGATTATTATTTTATTATTAATTATTTAATTTTTATTTAGTTATTTTACTTTTAATTCAACAATTAGTCCTATTAATAACTATTATTAATTCTACTATTACTTATTACTAGTACTTATCATAGTAGAATTAATACTACTAGCAATTGTTAATAACTATAATTATAATTATTAATAGATACTATTTGTATGTTATGTGGTATTATAATGTAATGTAATAATTAATATAATCAATGAATAATATAATTGTAATTATTAATAATTACAAATATAATTACATTCTAGTATTGATTCTAGAATACTATTTTACTATTGTTGGAATTGCTACTATGATATCTAATGTTATTAAAACTGATATTCTTTAATTTTATCATTCTCAGTCACTAAAAGTTAAACAAGAAATATTAATTAAATAAAAAAGTACATATTTGTGACAATCAATGTGACGTCTTGATATATATATCAATTGTGGATTTGTTGTCACAATCATAAGACTTAATGCCTACCACATCACATAGTCATCATTTTGTGTATATGTAGTGACAACACTTACAATCTAATAATATTTCTAGTATTCAGTCCAGAATTAACCATCATTATCATGCCGTATTAGATCTCCAGATTTTACTCATCCTGCAAAACTTAAATATTGCATCCTATGATAGTATCTCCCCATTTTCCTGTTTCCTACACTAGCAATCACCATTCTATTCTCTTTTCCTACTAGGTCAACTTTTTTGGAGTTCTAAGTGAGCTCAAAGTACTTGTCTGTTTGTGTCTGTTCCATTTCACTCAGTTCAACACTTTCCAGATTTACCTACGTTGTTAAAATGACAGAATCACCTTCTTTTCTATGTCTAAGTAA